ACTCAGCCTGGCTTGCTCCAAAGTAGGAAGGGTCCAATCTGGGTGGGACTCCTGGCTGGCCCCTGTCAGCTACTCTTATAAGCGGGTCTGGCCTGACCTCTGAAAAACTTCAGTGGCACATAAGAAATTCCCCAAAACTATCCCATGGAGAGGTGGTGGGTATTTTCAGAGGAAAATAGCTGCAACTGGCCACTAATTCTGACTTCAGGGAGACATGGGAGGGTCCTGAGACTTGGGGAAATGAAAGCCTCTTAGTACCGAGAGGCCCACCTCCAGAGCTATAGCCGCCCCTCTGCAGAAACAGGGATCTGAGGTAGGTAGAGGCAAGCCATGTGTAGATCGGATCCATCCCCCATGCCCCACAAGCCAAGCTTCATCCCGAACCCAGCCCCAAACTGTCCAAACTCCTGTTGCTCCCACACCTAGCACTGTCACCCCTGGCCATGCCATCCAACTCTGCTGCAATCGGGACGGTTTGCAAAATGCCTGCTAGCTCCCGCTTTGTCACCATCTGAGGTTAGGACTGTACTTGGGAGATAAGCTCAGGCCCCACCCGCCTGTCCCGAGTGAGACTGCTGGCCTGCTGCAATCGGGACGGTTTGCAAAACCCCTGCTAGCTCCAGCTCTGTCACCATCTGAGGTTAGGGCTGCACCCCAAGATAAAGTCTAGCCCCGCCTACTGGCTCTGCCTTCGGACCTCTCAGGCAGCAGGGCTAAGAGACAGAGAGCTCCTGGGGAGCCCACCCGAGGTCTGGAAGCCTCACTCAGGCCCAGAGAAGACCCAGTCCTGTCCTCCCTACTTCTCCCCTCCGTCCTGGCCTCGCCTTTCACACTGTCCTCATCTCCATCCTCCCCGCTCACCCTCCCTGTACTCTCACCTTCCATCTTCTAGCCTCACTTTTCCTCCTCCCACGGCTGCCGCCTATCCTCTCACCACACTCATTCATTCATTCATTCATTCATTGGCTCAAAAAATACCTAATAGCACCTACTCCAGGCCAGGTACTTTGCTCGTTATGGGAACTACAGATAATCAAGGAGGACAGTCCCTGCCCCTGTGGGGCTTACCAATTCGTGAGGTGGACAAACAGGATCTCACACATAAATGTCATTCTCAACTGTGAACAGTGCTATGTGGAAAAAGTAAAAAGGTGGCCATGACAGATATTTACAAGGGCATCTGATTTAAATGTGTCAAGAAAGGCTTCTTTGAGGAACGAACATGTAAGCAGGTATTGAAAAGGTGAGTAGGAGTTAGTCTGGCAAAAAGCAGGGTTCCCAAAAGAGGGAAGTATACGCAAAGGCCCCACACTGCAGGTTCTTCCTAGTCCGTGACAGAGGCTGGGGAGGTGCCAGCAGACTAGACTGAGGGGGGAGATGAGGTCAGAGAAGGGCTGAGGCAGCATCTCACCCTGATGGGAGGAACATCAGAGGCAGGAATGACTCCAAAGGAAGAACACATTTCCTTTCCTGACAAGAAAGAAGGGATGGCAGCAGACACAGATACAAACAGGTTTGTAGCAGGCTGAGGCTGGCTTGTTTCACTGTGAAAGAAGAGGTGATTGGGCTACGGCCATGCCACCCTGAACAAGCCCGATTTCGTCAGATCTTGGAAGCTAAGCAGAGACGGGCCCGGTTAGTACTTGGATGGGAGACCACCTAGGAAGACCAGGTGCTGTAGGCATAAATAATAAAAAAAAATAAGGGATTGTAAGCTGACAAAGTCCTTGCAATCTGTGAGGTCGACCAAGGGTTGCCTCGCCTAAAAAAAAACAAAAAAAAAGAAGAGGGGACTGCAAGTGACTGAGCAGGAGGCTCAGAGAAGGAGGCTTGAAGGAGTAAAATCCTGGAGAGTGAAAGAGGGAGCTGATTGCCGAGATTTCTGACTCAGGAGTGCACAGCTGAAGTCAGTGGTGAAAATTTTAGAGTGACAACAGTCTGTCCTCTGGGGAAATTTCCTTCAGTGGTTCTTAGCTGCTTGGGAGCAAGTGGGGCTTACCCAAGGAGGCAGGATGGACAGGACAGACTGGGAAGGGAAGCTGAAGGCACTTACAAAAGAGCGATTTAGTGTCGAACCTAGAACCTACGGAGGACAAGGAGAGATGAAAAGACCGGAAGGGCCAGTGGTTCTTCAATGAGCTTGTAGAACAGCTGCAGCGAGTCGACTTGAGCAAACAAACCATAAGGAAAGGAGATCGTATCAGAGAGTGGGATGTTTGATTCAGTTATTTCATAGGTGCTGCAGTTTCTGGTGATGATAAGGTTCCGGGCATGACTCTAGGAGTGGTTTGCTAAGATGGAATGGAGAAGAATGTTAGAGATGAAAGGGTGAAGGAACTAAGAGGTCAGCATGCTGGAGGGAGCAGCGCTATGGAGGATACCCCACCTAGGATGACTGCTCTGCTCAGCTCTCTTCTCTCCACCTCCCAAATCCCACATTCCACGTCCTTTCTTTCGCCTCCACCCTTTCCTCATCAACATCCTTTCTCCTTATCCACATCTAACTTCCTGTCTCCACGCACCCATTCGCATCTTCATCACCATCCTCTCTAACTTCTATTCTCCTGTCTAATCCTACCTTCTTATCGCCTTCACCCTCTCCTTACCCATTCTCTCTCCATTCTCCACCTTTTCTCCTCACCCTCATCTTCCTCGTCCTGTTCCTCTCATCACCGCTTTATTTCTCCTCAGTGCTGTGCACTTGAGCAGCACTACTGTAAGGTAAGTTAAAGCCTATGCTTGGGAGCCTAATTATATGGGTTCAAATCCCACACTTACCACTACCCACAATGACTAATTTTGTTGTGCCTCAGTTGTAAAATTGGGACAATAAAAACACCTACCTTGTAAGGTTGCTGAAAGGATTACATGAGTTTAAAGTGCTTTAACGAACGTCTGGGCACAAAAGAAGTGTTCGATAAAATGATTATTATTCTCACTCTCTGTTTACCCCCATGGCTCTATCCTCACTTCCATATCTTACCTCCATTATCCCTCTGAACATACTTCATGCGTTTCGAAGAGGCAGAGATGAATCAGACTCAGCCCCTGCCCACAGTCTAGCAGAGAAACAAGTGCAAAAATAAATGTCAGGAGAATATAAGTGCTTTTTCCAAGATGTGAAAGAAATGCTGCTGGAAAACAGAGGATATGCAAACTAACTTAGCCTGGGGAGTAAAGTGTCAACAGGCAGATAACCTTTCAGCTGGACCTTGAAAGATGAGGAAGAATTTGCCAGGCAAAGGTAGGAGGTGGGTATTCCAGCAGAAGAAACAAGAGGTGTTTCTTGCGCTTCCTCTGCTAGATGGTATGAAGTCTTGCAAGCGTGTGCAAAGTTAGGGTGAACCCCTACCCTGGCAGGGCATGCCCTCCTCAGTCTTGCCACAAGGGGGCAGCAAAGCATTAGAAGCGGCTACAGGCGACGGGCGGAAAACCTGCAGGGAGCCACGCAGACCTGAGGTCCCTCGGGCAAATCCTGACCAGGTTTTATTCCCAGGTTGCCCGGCTCAGCTAGGAGGAAAAAAAAAAGACTTTCAACACTTAGAGAAAAAGAGTAGGTTCGTCTTAGAGAAAGAACAAGAATTCCCTAAAGATTTGTACACGTCGATAAGAACAGAATAGTTCTCTGAGCTTAAGTGTCTATAGAATATGTACTCTTGACTTAGCTTTTACCGTGAGCCAGACACTGTCGTCAGCACCTTACAAATCTTATTCCTCATCACAACCCTATCAGGCAAGTATTATCATCCCTATCTTGCACATGGAAAAACTGAGGCACGTGGCCAAAGTTGCATAGATAGAAAGTGGCAGAGTTGGTTTGGCTCCTGAGTTTGGATACCTCCCTTGTAATGCGTGGTGCGTGCCACAGCTCTGGAATGTAAAAATATAAAATTCAGCCTCCTCTAGCCTTTGTCACTAATTAGCTACGTTACCTTACGTCACTTCACCCTGACCTGCCTCTTCAAAAGTTAAAAAATAAGGTTAGGTTCTGTTCCTTCATCCACAAACTGAGGACTAGGCCCTCTGGGCTGTGCTGAGTGCTGGGGACACAAAGCCAGGAGGCAGGCCCACCTTGAAGGAGTGGGGGATGTGGAGGGAGAGCCACTAGGCCAACAATGCTAATGGAAGATGACAGGTGTTCTGCTAGGAGCAGGGAGGAGAGGTCCTCCTCCCCTGTTGGCAGGTGTGGAATTTGGGCAGGAAATGTTAAGAAAGGCTTCCCAGAGTAATTACAGGGAAGGTAGGAATTTAGACAAGCAGGTAAGGAAGGAGTGTGTGTGTTGGGAGGCGAGGGGAACAACAGGATGTGAAAGCACAGCAGGAGCAAAGAAAACAAAGGGATTTCCAAGAGTTCGGTAAGAACATCTCTGAACATCTTTCATTTCTGTCCATTTTAAGTTTATTTTCCCTCCTCGGCAAGCCTATGTGTAGCTTCTGTGACGCCTCACAGAGCTAACACAACAGCCTCTCGCTGGCGGTGTCAGTGAACCGGCGTGTGTTTGTTGAGCACCTAGTAAGTCCCCTACACGGATGAGGGACATGCCTAAATATCTGGCAGTTTAGAGTCCACCCGGCTCTGACATGGGGCTAGTGAGGTACAGGAACCTTGTTTGCTCATCTCCATGAGCTAGGCAGGCATCTAAGAAGCAAAGAATGTCCACACACACACCCCGATATATTAACACCTATATTTTAGTTCTGGGAAGGTTCCAAGGTTATCCGTTCAGAACGGCAGAGGAGTTAGGATGAGAGATGGAAGAGGGTTAGGAGAGTTCCTGTGTGGATGGGGCAGGCTGCTCTTTGCAAAAGTCAGTTGAGGCCTCCGGAATAACACTGCCCCTCCCCGAGCTCTCCACCTCTGGTACCCCCGGAGGAGGCAGCTTCTGGCCCCTGTAGTTCACATCCGACCTCCTGGCAGGAACTGTAGATTTAGTCAACAACACTCAAATCTTGAAAAAATAAGCAAGAGTGCTGGAGGGGATATGCAGAGAGACGGTAAAGAAAGGAAAGCCAGAGTGAGGCACAGAATAAGGGAGCAGCAGACAGCATCCAGGGCAAGAAAACACTTGGAAGATGCTGCTGCTGCTGTTGCTACTCCTGGGGGCTGCTGCAAGCAAATGTCTACATGATGAGACACAGAAGTCTGTGAGCCTTCTCAGGCCCCTTTTACCCCAACTTCCCTCAAACTAAAAAATTCCTCCTTCCCTGCGTGGCTCCGTTGATCCTCAACCCCTCCGAATCCAAACCTGCTATGTAAGAGACCCTGTGTCAGATGGAGCTTGGGATCTGGAGGGAGACGGGATGAGTCGGGAATCCCAAGTCCTGGCCGCAGTGAGAGAGGCTGCTCAGCGACTCCAGGGCGTCCTAGCAGGTGAGTGGGGTGGGGGTAGGGGGGAAGCAGGAATCAGGGAGGGCTGAGGAACAGAGAGAGCTGGGGCAGGAGACCACCACAGGAGAAGACCTGGAGCTCTAAGGTGTTGAGGTGAAATGGACCTCTCGCTTTGTTAAGTGCCTCCAGTGAAAGGACCCCTGCTTCTGAGTCGAGACCCTGCACAGTACTGCCATGCTGTCTGGGGAGACCCAGATACTCCAAACTACCACAGGTGAGCTCATGTCATGACAACGTATACAATGCCTCTTCAGGGTTACCCCGAAATGTCTCCAGCTCACCAATAGATATTCGTTCTTGGCAGGTGTAGCCTCTTGAACCCAGGGTACAAAGGAGAGAGTTGTTTGGGGGCAAAGGTGAGAGCAACTTCTCAGATTTGGGGGTCTGAAGATCTCTAGCCTGCCTAGACCTCTCCAAGACCACCAGCATCAGAATTACTTAATGTGCTTCCTAAGAATGTAGATTCCTGAGCGCCTCCCCCCCTGCCCCACCGGCAATTTATTAAATCAGAGATTCCTTGTGTGTGTAGGCGGGTACAGATCTCCCTATCCTAACCAGCTACCTAGACAACACTAAAGCAGACTAAAGACAGAGACTCTCTGCCCCTCGCTCCTAGTACCCAGTTTCCTGTTGTCCTATCTCCCAGCCCATCTGCTAATCTAAATGCCAGATCTTGCTCCCTGCCAGATCCCTGATGCCCACCTCCGCGGTTATGCCTTGTGGCCAGAGCAGGGTCCTCCACAACTGGTCCAGCCAGATGGGCCTGGGATCCAAAACGCTGATTTTCTTCTCTATGTGCGGGTTGCCCATACTTCCAAGTGCCACCGAGAGGTGAGGTTCAAATCAAGTCCCTTTTCCCTACTCTGCCTCTCTTAATTGTAAATGTCATGGGAAGGGGCAAGGAACATAAAAGCAGTTTTTATTAAACTGTGCTTACTTGGGGTAACTTGGGGCACGCTGATGAAGTTTGGGTGGGGGTGAAAACCCCTCTAAGCTATTCTTCGGTACCACCCCTGGTCTTTCATTTTCGGGAAGATTTTTTTCTGTGTTACCTCACTTCTCTCCTTTCCACCCCTACCTTGTCTTGACCTATCCACAGCCCTCTGTTATTGCCTATGCTGCCTGCTGCCAGCTGGACTCAGAAGACAGACCCCTTGCTGGCACCATTGTCTACTGTGCCCAGCATCTCACCAGCCCCAGCCTCAGCCATAGTGACATCATCATGGTGACTGCTGCATGATGACAGATTGGGGGAGGTGGGGCAGTCTCTAAGCTTCCCATGAAGTGGAAGAACCTTCTAAGGCTGAAATAGAAGGTGCCTCAAGCTCTAGGAAGAAGTGATTGGCAGAGGGGTATAGAGTGTCTGGTTAATCCTGCTGCAAATCCAGTCTCCCTCATTCTGCAGTCATTTGTCCTTAGGCCACACTACACGAATTGCTCCATGCCCTGGGTTTCTCTGGACAGCTCTTCAAGAAGTGGCGGGATTGCCCCTCAGGACCTAGTGGTAAATGAGAGGAACGAGGGGACACATCTTCCCACAGTGTTAACCGGAGGGAATCACTACTATATCATGAACTCCTTCCTCCCAAATCTACCTCATCCTTCTTAAGTTTTCCTTTCCTCTTATTACCTTCTCCCCTTTCTGTACTCAGTTCGAGAAAACTGTTCTACAAGGCAACAGGTGACAAGGCGAGATGAGTGGGGACAGCTGCTTCTCACCACTCCAACTGTTAGCCACAGACTGGCCAAACACTTGGGAGTGCTAGGGGTTTCACTTGGTGTCCCCTTGGAAGAAGAGGTAAGAATGAGAACGCCTTGGGATGACGGAAGGAAGAGGGAGTAGCCAGGTGGCAAACAGCTACATCTTTCAGTAGGGCCCTTTGTCTTCACACTGGGAGGCCCGTCTGCTCCAGGGATCTATAATGACTGCTACCTTCAATGGTGCCCAGCGCACTCGACTAGACCCAATTACTCTTGCTGCCTTCAAAGACTCAGGCTGGTACCAAGTCAACTACAGCGCTGCAGAGGAGCTGTTGTGGGGCCAGGGTGAGAAATAAGGGAGAATTGCAGAGGGGCATTCATGACCCAAGTCAGCTCGGGAAGTGAGAGAGGCTGGAAAGGGTTATCTGCTGCTGAGATGTAATGGGAGCTGTAAGCATAGCTGGCACTGAGAGATGTTTGGGGCTCCATTTGTTCTGAGGGCTCTTTTTCTCTCTTCCTAACTCTCCTGCAGGATCTGGCCTGGAATTTGGCCTGGTGACCACATGTGGGACTGGCTCCTCCGACTTCTTCTGTACTGGCAGGTGTGTGTGTTGAGTGGCTGAGGGGTCGTGCAGCTGTCTGTGATTCTGGTGTCACTCTAGCATCCCTTCTATACAGTGGACTGGGCTGTCACTATCTGCACCTGGACAAGGGAAGGTGCTCCTCAGACCCCATGCTGGAAGGCTGCCGCATGTATAAGCCCTTGGCCAACAGGGTGAGTAGACTAGAGAACAGAGAGTGAAACTGAGTGGGCCTGGAGAGGGGTCAACTTCTAGGGCATCGAGATAAACACTATTCTACCTTCTGCCCTGCCCTTAGAGTGAATGCTGGAAGAAGGAAAATGGATTCCTACCTGGAGCAGAGAATCCCCATGGGGAGATCTACCATTCCCAGAGTCGTTGCTTCCTTGCCAACCTCACGTCACAACTGCTCCCTGGGGACAAGGCCAGGCAGCGCTCTCACATCCCACATCTGAAGGAAGCAGAACTCACTGGCCGATGCTACTTACATCAGTGCACAGAGCGGGGAGCTTACAAGGTGCAGGTGGAGGGATCCCCTTGGGCCTCATGCCTTCCAGGAAGTGCTATTCAGGTGGGTGTCATAGGTGAGACAGCTAGAGCACACTGGCAAAAGAAGTTTGGAAATGCTCATATGGTGGTACTATCCAATCTGCTTTATGTTCATTTTTTACTAACTACCCACTGAGCCCATGACTCTGATCTAGGTTGTACACTTTCCTTAGGAGGGCTGGAACAAGTAACTGAGGCTCTAACTGTACCCTGCTACATGTTTCCTGGCAGATACCTGGGTACTATGGTCTTCTCTTCTGTCCCCGGGGTCGGCTGTGTCAGACTAATGAAGATACAGATGCTGCTACTTCTCCACCTGTGAATCTTTCAACCCAAGACCTCTTATTCCAGCTGTGTTTAGGATTAGCTGGGGCCCCAGGCCACTCCCTGGGGAAGGAAGAGAGAGAAGAGTTCACTGAAGCAGTCCTACAGGCTCTGGTGAGCAGAGGAGGCGTTGAAAGGTAAAGGCTCAGTTTAGGCTGAGGATACATATGGTGGGCCAGGGAGAATGCTTAAGACCTTTACTTCGGTGGTCCCTAACTTTTTTGGCATCAGGAACCAGTGCTCCTATGAGAATCTAATGCCTGATGGTGAGGTGGAGCTGAGGCGGTGATGCTAGCACTTGCAAACATAGATGAAGGTTCTTGCTCACCCGCTGCTCACCTCCTGTTGTGTGGCCCAGTTCCTAACAGGCCACTGACCACTACAAGCCCAGGAGTTGGGGACCCCTGCTTTACTTCACAACTGTCCTTTGGAGGTTTTCTATTCATCCCATTCCTAAGCCTGCACCTGTATGAGATAAACTCTCCCAGGAACTATACCTCCATTAAGAATCCAAATGTCCACTTAGGTGCTATTTCCACAGCCCCTCAATTACCGCTAGTCTGGTGTTCAGCGTGCGCATGTGGAAGTCCCCTGGTTGCCAAGGGCCTTCAGTTGGTATGCTGCACAGGGCTCTGACTCTGACTCTACAGAAGCAGCCTCTAGAAGTTTATTATGGAGGAGCCAGCTTTACCACAGAATACAGCAAGTAAGATAGTATTCCATGTGGTTTCATTTTTCATTCCTAGAAGCCGGATGTTTGAAACTGCATTTATTAAGCACCCATTCATGTGTATACAATACTGTCCTAGACAAAGTCATTTCAGAAAACAAGGATCCCTAACTAGCATGATTACCTCAGGCCTGTCATTATAGGACACCTCTCTCTCCCACAATAGTTCTCCCATACCTAGGACATAGAGTTCCCAGCCACCTTCCTTTCTTAAGTACTACGCACGTATGTCTAGCTACCTGAACATCATAGTCTAACTCTTAAGCCATTTCCCTCACTGCCAAGTCTCCTTCCAACAATCTAAGTTGCTGGAAGCCTTGGATATTGATCTTATTCCCACTTTCAGGTTCTACAGTCCTTCTTACTGATTTCCTGTTTAGCCTGCTTAGATGAAGCACATTTTCATGAGCTCTATGTATTATAATAAAGGTAAAGCCCTTCATCTCCTAAGTTAGGTAACATTCCAGGCCAAATATTCTCTCTGTTCCCAGGTTGCTGTTTACCTCAGGCCATAATCCCTCCAGGACTTGTCTAGGTCTGTCCATGGGACTGTGCCTAATGCTTCTCATCCTGGTGGGTGCACTGGGAACCATGATCTATCAGAAACGAGCTACTCTTCAGGTGGGACCATCCACCCCTTACCATTCATCAGAACTCCAAGGCACAAGGGGCCCAGTTGGAGGAATAAGGGAGGTATGATGTTAACTAGGGCATGATGAAGGCAGGACAGAGATTATTTCTTGGAAGACAACTGGATGCAAGGCCAATCTACTGTCTATACTAAAGTTCTACTTTTCTCAGAATGCCTTTTCCTCTGTATATCAACTATACATTAGGCTTGCAATGAAAAAAAGGTAGAAACTAATGGTTCCAAAGATCCGTTCTTTATTTTGGTATAAAAAATAAACCTTCAACCTGTAAAAAGTGCCACTTGTTTTCATATTGTTGCAGAGCAAACTTACAGAATATCTGCTACCAGCTCCAAGGATATCACATATGCTTTAGCAAAAAAGTCATTGCTATTTGGATTCAAACATCAACGTGGAGGAAGGAGTAACTCATTACCACCCTCCCGATTTTTCCATAATTTTACTAAATCATCACAAGAAAGTTAGTGGTTAGGATGTCACATAATTATGCCAGAATCTGGTAAGGGCGGTGAAACCAGCCATTTGAATCCAGCTCAACTATAAAACTATGACCTTTTATTGCCTTTCTCTCCTGTTTCTGGAGTAGGAGGGCTCTACTTTATATCCCCATGGGCCAGCAGTAGACTTCAGTTATAATGTGTAGATGCCTTTTGGTTATAGTTGCAAAGGAAGCTATTAAATTCTTGAGGGTTTGACATCTCTTGAAAAGAAGCAAGCTATAAGACAAACTGCTGATCTGGATTTGCTTAGATGGAAAACATTTACACTAGGAGTCCAGGTGACATGCTGTTAACATCGAAATAACCAGGCCTATATTGGTGGTCATCATGTTCAATCAACAGATTGAGATACCATCCCCAGATCTTTAAGTGATATAGTCAAAGTTCTCACTGTAAGGTTGTGGCTTCGGCTCCATCGGCTATGCTTATCTTCTTTGATTTTAATGACTATCAGTCTTTACCAGCTGTAGCAGCTACTGCTTGGTAAAACTTTGCCACGAAGTCTGGCTCACTGATCTCCAGCTGCCTGACAAATTCATTGCGTTCCTCCTCAGCCCAACCTCGAAACCACTGATCCCAAAGACGTAGCTGGCACTCAAAGATGCAAGGTGGTCGGTTTGCTCCAGACACACTAAGCTGCTCCAGACTTTCCAGCAGTGGCTGTAACTTTCCTGGCACTGCCTTAGCTACCAGGTCCTGTAGGAAACGTTCACGCTGGGGACCTGACCAACCGGCAAACCAGTGAAGAATACACTTCATCTCCTGGGAAGTGATGTAAGACATTGGGGGAGGGGAAGAGTTAGTAAAATTGTCTGGCACCAAGGGTAAGGGAGAAGAGGATAGTTGCATCGAAGATGATGATTCCAGTGGCATCCTGAAACATAAAAGCACTGTTACATACTCTCTAGCTAGAACAACCAAAATATAACTTTCCAACAAGGAATTTTATCACACTCAATCAGCATCTATAAAGAAAATTACTTTCACCAATTCAATTTACAGGAAAATAACAGGGTCCTTTATTTGGGTTATTATCCACCTACCTTAGAGAAATCATCCAAGAATAACTTCATTTCATATTTGCCAACCTTCCTCTCTCTTTTTCAAATCTATTACTCTCCCCAACTACTGTTTCTATCATTCTTATAATCTGAAAACTACAATTTTTTTCAAGTGACCAAAAATTTTTATTTGACTAAATTCTACCTCATGCATGAGTCTCCCGTTTATTAGACTCTGGCAAAAACAAAACAAACAAGCAGGCATGTACAGAACAGTGAAAATGCCAAGGGCGAGGGTAGTCCTCAGTTTTACTGTAGGATAAATACGTATTTTTTCAAAAGGCCTCTGCCTTTGGTTATATTAACTCTCAGTTCAGCTCATTAAATACAAATTTTCAAAATCACTTTTTCACTTCTCCAAGATCTTCGATGCTATCATAATCTACCTCTGGCCATTTTCCCTGAATGACAACAACTATGTCATCTGTAAAGTCTCCCTGAATGTTTCCATCTTGTTACTGAGGCAACACGGGAGAATTTTTGAGCAAAAAATCTTTGTGCTTCTTTATTATCGGTTTCAAGGGTTGCAAGGCACATTCCTGTTACATATTTTTTCTTTGCTCTGGGAGTTTTGTGGTACAGTTTTTGGTGTTTTTTTTTTTTGAGCCCCTTCCGCCTCTTTTTTTTCTTCTTCTCGATGTTCCTTAAACCTTGCTAACTCCAGCTTCTCGAACATATTTCTTGTTCATTCTCTCCTGCCTATTTCCATGTTCCAGATTAAGAAAAAAGAATGACTAATGTTGGTCCATCAGTTCTTCCCTAAAATGAAAAGTACATTTTTTAATCTAGTACATTCAGCTTGTCAGGGCCTAGCTGCTGATCATTCCAGAACCATCAACAGTGTTGAAAAAGGGCGAAAAAATATGAATATACATATATGTGTGTGTGTGTGTATATATGTCTTCTTTGCAATGTGCATATAGCCTTTAAAATATGCCAAGAACTCAATAACACCCATTACTTCCTTATATTTCCCGTAAAGCACCAGGAACAATTAAAGAGCAGACTAAGTGATGGGTACCTGGCCCAAAATAAGGTAACATAGTAAGAAAAACAAGAGAAGCCACATGTTTATTCAAGACTGAAAAAATGTCTACTTGGTTTGCTGGCTTAGGGATCTAAGTGTTATACTGCTGTAGATGCATGACAATTATGTCTTTGCACAATTTTCCTTAACGTTTAATATAATACCTGCTGTTGCCCTGTCATTGATTGACATCACTAATGCAACTGGAGTGTCAGCCAACGTGAACAGTTTTCAAGTCCCACGGTCTGAATCTTTAACAACGGAAAACAAACTACTACTACTACTGTCTATGGCCTACTTTATTTGTAAAGTTTGCTGCAAGTTGGCAGCATTTGTAGCGAGAAAGGAACCTCTAAGCAATTAAAATCAAGTCAGTGCCAAAACAGTCCAGAGAGGTTGCTCTTTTCACAGTGGCCCTACAAGAAGCAATTCCTCCTAGAAGAACTTAATTCCCTTTCATTCAGGGAAAGGAAGAACGTTCCCCGAGACTTGAGACATGAGACATGGCTTCCAGAGCAAACTAGAGTTCAACGATCATGAATTAGTTCAGTCTGAGTTCGAAGGCACGGTGCTGCCATTTGCCCACTTTGGAGGCCACGGAGCCTGGTGGCATTCCCAGGTCCCAAAGAACAACGCGGCCTCAGAAGGGAGTGGCGGGGATTAAGATGGGAGGCGGCAGCTGTTTCCGTAGGGAAGCGGGAGGCTAGCCGGCCGAGGGTGACCCGCAAACAGCGAGTCTGACCTGGCCAAAGGAGGGACTTCAACTCCGCTTACCTCCCCTTTCCTCTCACAGAGCACCGAGAGGCCGTCACAAGAGTGCTTAGACTCCAACTACCGCCGCCGCTTCCATGTTTCCTGAAAACCCCAAGCAAGGCTAGCCAGGGAGCCCACGCACTTCCGGTCCTTGGCCAGCCCCAAACACCCAAACTCCTCAGCGCCTCAGCCTTAGGTCCGGCGAGAGCCGAATAACTCCGATCATGGTTATGCCAGAGTCGGGACTTCCGAATGGATTCGATTCAAAGCTTCGGTAGAACGAAGATAACCGAGCTCTGAAAGCAGGATGAGGGAGGGGGAGCGGCTGGGAGGATGGAAAAAAGTGATTGGTGCCGACGTAGAGGCGGAAACACCCGAACATTACCGGAGGAACCCGGGGAGTTCTGAGTGGTAATCGTGGGGTTGACTATGGCAGTGGGCGGGGACAGAGCGGTACGTTCGAAGGGCGTTGGCGGAAATTACCGAAGATGCCCGAAGCCGTCGGGACGGACCCGAGTACCTCACGCAAGATGGCGGAGCTGGAGGAGGTGACTCTGGACGGGAAGCCTCTTCAGGCGCTGCGGGTGACCGACCTGAAGGCCGCACTGGAGCAGCGTGGCCTGGCCAAGAGCGGGCAGAAGAGTGCCCTGGTCAAGCGGCTCAAAGGGGTGAGGAGACGGCGTTGCCGGGGTGTCGGAGGGGAGCGGACCCGGTAGAGACGAGTCTCTGCCGCGGCGCAGGCGCAGTGTCCGGGCTCGGCGCGAGCGAGCTCAGGCCGCCAGCGCGAGTCTCCGGAGCCGCGCGCACGGTGGTTGGCGAGGCTCGCGCTGGCATAGAGATAACGCCGGTTCCCGCCTTAACGGCAGCGGCGCGAGCCCAAAATGGGAGGGTGCGCGCTACTCTCCTGGAGTGTCTTAAGCTCCTTCCTCCTTCCCCCACCCCCTCCTTGTTTGTGTCTGTGGTTTCGGCGCATGCGCTGCAGAAGGAGTTAAATCCCCACTACAGCCACCAGCATTGCTGGCCCGAGGGGGGCGAGTTGTGCTGGGTGGGAGTTAGGGGGTATAATTGGGCGGAGAGGTTAATGGGGTTGGTTTTGGTATTCAGAAAAATAGGATTGGGTTAGGCTAAAATGTCTACCTGATTAGATTAGGAGGTGAGATGAAGAGAGACCTTGATTTGAAGGGACTTGGTTAGAGAGGGGTGTGTAATTTATAGGGCATCCGGAAGCATTTCGGGTGAATAAGAGTTTGGTGAATATTGGTGAGAGAGGTAAGGTAGGTTGGTGTATGTTGGAGAGTTTGAATCGGTTTGAGTGGATTAGAGTAAGATGGATAGTCATGACGTGGATGGATGGATTGGTGTGTATGGATATAGTGTAAACGGAGGGGAGATAAGAATGTCTCGGTTTTAATTAGAGTTAATTAGAATACATGGTGGGTATTACAGCTTAGGGCTGGGCTTGCCCAAAGGTTAAGTTGGCAGACCGTTACTTGTGCAGAAGCTGATAAGTATCGTGTGTGTGTGTGTGTGTGTGTGTGTGTGTGTGTGGATTAGGTCAGACCACAGTTTACAGAGTCTGGTCATTTTGTTCTGTAGCCTCCTTTTTGAAATTTTATAAATTTGATAAATCTAGGTGCCACCCTGTTGGAAAGAATCAAGTTCTCTCAAGTAGATCTAGTGCTCGGTAACTGTTTGAGCAAGTAATTCAATCAAGGCCAAAACCAAACCCGTGTGGGTTTCTTATATTTGAAGTTTGAGTATTTGAAGTGATTTTACCTGCATGGCCAGCTTTAGGAGGGGCACTAGGCAGAAGTGCAGAAGATAATAGGGACCGTAGTACTGGTTTTGTCACTGTTTTTTATTACACAGCCTGGTTACTGATTTTCTCCTGTGTGCCTGCATTTTACCTCTGTACATTGGGGAGCAGTAACCATGGCTACCTTTAAGGGTCTTCTAAAGATGAATGAGGACAGTATTAGTAAAAGGCTTTTAGGTCCCTGGAAAAAGAGAACAGTTTAAGTGTGCATGGTTAGTCGTTGCATTTAATAAAGAGATTGGGGGAGGAATGGGTTTTCTTCCTTGGTTTCTGACATTTGCCCTTCTCTATACCAGGCTCTAATGCTAGAAAATTTACAGAAACACTCAACACCCCATGCTGCATTCCAGCCAAATTCCCAGGTAAGAAAGAAGGTTCATTAGATGGGCTAGGCTCTTTGGATGCACAGACATATGGAAGGATGAGTTGTATATTTGATGTTTAATTCATCACCTGTATTTTCTGTGTTCCCTGGGTTGGAAAAGTTCTCATACCAGGACAGTTGAATTCTAATAAAGAATTCAAGAACAGAATCAGAGAAGCTTAGTTAATTTCTGATACTTTAAATGGTGTGTGCAGAAAGATGTGGCTCAGTACAGGAATCTGAAGTCATTTATTTGCCATTGATTTGGGAAAAGTAGTTGATGTCTTTGGCTGTAGATATGAAGTACACAATCAGTAGGTCAGTGTAGGAGAATACTTGCTGAAGAACTCTTGTGTTGACAAAGATTTTCCAAGAATTCAATCTTTTGGACATTATCCACCATTAAAAGTGTCAATACCGACCATGCAGTTACTCCTAAACTTCATGAATTGCTCTGTTACTTAGAGCCAGAAACTCTACCTTTGTAGGCCTTGGTTTCCTCAACTTTCTTATGTGTAATATGAGAAAAGGTTGGACTAGAGCCGTTGTTTTATAACTGCTGGGGTTTGTGGAGCTGCTTTTGGGGGCTTCCGAGGAAAGATACTTTCTTCCCAAGTGAGCTGGGGTTCACACTCCCCTCTTAAACTAGATTAGATCTGTTTTTAGCTGCATCGTATATTGAGTTTCTGCATAAGATTTCTTTGGAAGAAATCATTTCACAGTTAACCAAAAAAAAAAAACCCTGAAAACTAAACTTCTTAGACTGCATGATCTCTTAAGATTCCTTTTTGGTTTTAAAATCCCCTCATTATAGTGTGTCATCCACGTTATAATGCATACTTAAAGAAAAAAATCCAGGTCTTTTTTAGTGTGTGGTGTGCAGCTCCATTGCTAGATGAAGTCCCAAGATAACTGTGGAAAAACAAGAGAGCCTTCCTTACTCCCTTGTTATCACCTCATTAAGCTGGATCATAATCTAGCCAGTTTACAGAGGTTTAGCTAAGTACTTTAACAAGCCCACATAAGTTAATCAGTTTACGATTATGTTCCTTTTGCATTTTAGTCTTTGAAGCTTTGCTTTCATTAACATAGGATTTTTGCAACAAATATATATATTATCTAATACATCCTACCCACACTTCCTCAGTGTCCAGTGACCAAGAAACTCATCTTTAGGTGAAGATAAACATTTACTATGCTTCAGAAAGATGACTAATAATATACAGAGTATTCAGATTTTTTCCTTTTTCTGGAATTCTAAAGGACTTGTCAAGCAAGAAGGTTCTCAGGAGGAGGACTTGTGAAGAGAAAAATGAAGGGTAGAAGAGTAACATGGAAGTCTATGAGTTAGAAAAAAAATGGGGTGGGGAGATTAAGCTTTTGGATTTCAAATGTTATTACCAATGATTTCTTATCACCCAAAGAAAATGGAGTTAGAACTCTGTCTAAATGCTGAATGGCCATCCCTTTTCTTAGTCTCATGCTTTCATACTTTTAAGTACTGTACTTCAATTTTGGAGATGTTTGACAGAATGATTCCGGAGTAGGTAAAGATTTGTCTTTTATATCAGCAAAAGGTGAACTAATATTTTTTCCTTTCAGTTTTTAATATTACTAAAAGAAAAATTTAGATTGTTTTTAGATAGTACTTTGTATTATCTAAATTTTTAGATTAAAATGCATAATTTTTATTTTATTTATTTTATTTTTTAGGTAAGGCAACCCTTGGTTGACCTCACAGATTACAAGGATCTTATTTTTTTATTTTTTATGCCCGTAGCACCTGGCCTTCCTAGGTGGTCTCCCATCCAAGTACTAACCAGGCCTGACCCTGCTTAGCTTCTGAGATCAGACAGGATCGGGCTTGTTCAGGGTAGAATGGCCATAGACTAAAATGCATAATTTTACAAGAACTTTTATTTCATTTTATTTGTGCATCACTCTTTGGATGGGAACCGAATAAAATAAAAAATTATATATGTTCCTTTTTTTTTTTTTGGCCATCTTTTATGAATCATAGGTCTATTTATTTTGGTCCTCAACATAGAAGTAGCTTAGAAGAGGGTCTTCTAACATTTTAATTGCCTTTCTTGAGTCCAGGTATAAGGGTAGACCTTTGCTCCATGAAATTTTCTTTTTGCATTTTCCTGGTTTGCTTTCCTAGACTTTTCTTTTTCCATGTCCTCTCCACAGATTGGCGAGGAAATGAGCCAGAACAGTTTTATAAAGCAGTATCTGGAAAAGCAGCAGGAGCTACTTAGACAGCGTCTGGAACGTGAAGCTCGAGAAGCTGCAGAACTTGAAGGTAAGCCCAGACTGTCACTTCTTACAAGGATTTCTTCATTCTTATTCCTGTCACTGAGAAGATGGGCCTGTTTAGGCATATTCAGGAATAAGTCAGGCTGAGACTACTACTTATTTGCTTTGGTAGTTTATGGAGCCAAGTGAGTTACTTTTTTACCTTTTGTCAGAGAAGACACTTAATTTGATTATCTTGTTAGAGGATGCCTGCCAACAGGAAGAGTTATAAGTAAATTATGCCACTGTTTTTATGAGGTAGAGCTTAATCCTAGGGAGTGTTTCTCTGTGTACAGCACTCTTTTTAGTATATACTCTGTATCCATGACTTTGCCTGACCTCCCTCACTCCTCTGCATATTCCCACATGCTGAGCCCTTCACTCCCTCCCTGCCCCGACCCAATCTGTACTTTGCAGAAGCTTCAGCTGAGTCGGAGGACGAGATGATCCATCCTGAGGGAGTGGCTTCCCTGCTGCCTCCTGACTTTCAGAGCAGCCTGGAGAGACCAGAGCTGGAGCTCAGCAGACATTCGCCCAGTACGTATCTCCCTCCCCACTGCGCTGTTTTGTCAATCCTGCGTAGTTGGTGGGGGGAGGTAGTTACACCTCCTTTCATGCTAAGCCTCCGTTAAAGTCCCAAGGAAACTCTGTTACGTTGATATTTAACATCTGTTTTTTATGGAAGTTATGTCCTTTTTGAAGTCGGCGTTCACATCTATGTTGTTAACAGACTGTTTTATAAGGCAATATGATTTTTCTTCTCATTTGTACCTCTTTAATCTTCTCTTCCTCTGAATTTAGCAATAGTCACAACCCTTTTTCATCTCTTCAGCAATTATATATGAGTTGCACATCCAGTCATCCCCCACAAAGGGGCATCTGCTGCAGTTTATTAATTCATAATTTTTAGTGAGTGCCTGTTTATGCCAGGCATGTGCCAGGCACCAGAAATATAGTAAAGAAAAAGACAAGTCTCTGCCCTTATGAAATGTATAGTCTAGTGAGGAGGCGGACATTAAACAGATTATTACATAATGAATTAAGAGTTGTGCTGCATGCAGTGAAAGTACACAGTATTATGTGAGCATGTTACAGGGAGCTCTAACCCAGTGTGTGGAGTAGGTTCAGGCAAAATTAATTTTTTTACATTATCAAGTACTCAGTTTTGCATAGTATCTAAGGCAAAAATCTGTAAATGCAGTCTAAATATCCTTTTAAGAGAACTGTGTAGAAAACACGTGTACGATAGCTATATCAAACCAGTGTATAAATGAACTACTTTGAATCATTATTAATACTGTTGGTCATGGAAGGTGAGCACTCCATATTTAATATTTTTAGAGTGTGTGGAAGTTGCTGGCTCTTCCAATTAATATAGAATTTCTTCCTGAAAATAGACTTTTAAGAGATATTTAATGGTTGGAGAGAAATACATTCTTTTAGAGACTTCTTTTCTCAAATATTAAAGTAGCATGCCCTCAATTGATCCATTTTGCTCTTAGGATTCTTATTCCCCCTGATTGTAAAGCCAGGAGGAAGGGGAAAACTCATATATAAAATCAGTTGTGTTTCTTCTCAGAAATCACTCAAATGTTTATTGGTTTTCTGCTGTATACATATCTCCATAGTAGAGTATATGGGGAGTTAGCACATTTCTTAAATCTATTAAGGAGAGAAGACAGTGCATATAAAACTAACAAAGGTTGTGTATTTTTGAGTGATATAAGTAGTATAGATACATGTACCATGGGAATTTGAAAGAGTAAATGTTCACTGAGGACTGGAGTGATTAGAGAGAGCCTCAAGAATGTGTAGGATTTGAGCTGAGCCTTAGAAATGGGTAGGATTTGAAATGGCATGGAAGAGACAAGAGGGTATTTTTTAGGAAGGAACATAGGTTTAGAGATAGAAGTGAATGTGACATTTTTAAAGGAGAGGTGCTAAACTAATCAAGCCAGAGTAAGGTATTCTTTCATATTCAAGAATAAACAGTTGAAAAGGTAATTTGGGATAATTGCAGAGGGCTTTGAATATCAAGCCAATGCATGTGAGCTTTTTTTATTCTGAAGGTAATGGGGAACTTTGATAGGAACATGATTTGATAAGGAACACTTTAAATTAAAGAGCCTCTCTCAGTTCTAAATGTAATTGAAATGAAAACAAGGACTGAATTCTGAAATAATAAGTTTTCAAAAGCAAGTAAAGATTTAGAGGGCAGCCAATCTTCAGTGCTTTATGTCATCAGCAGGATTCTGTCTATGGCTATAATTGATGAAGAAAAACAAACAGAAACAAGGAAAAGGAAAGAGAGGTAGAAAATAAATTAGAAGTGATGAATGAAATAAATTGTAGAGTACAGCTAACACTTGCCATATCTGCTCTTCTGATCTTGGCTAGAATATAAATCTCATAGATGCAGTACAAAATTTGGTCACGCTCCTAAATAGAGTGATAGTTTGGAAATTCTAGCAGTGCTTAATTAGATCAGTGGTAATACCTGTTGTTTACCCAGAAATTAGATTCTTTTAGGTATATAGTGTCAGTCCACCATCGGCCATTAAACTTTTGGGGTGCCAGCCTGTTAATTCGCTTTAGATATTTTGAGTTTCTCTCTTTAATAAGATAGTGATTAAAGTAGAGTTCATAGTAACATATTTTGCTGATCAGTAGTGGCACCCAAGGATGTTTTTTGTGTATTGCTCTTTTTGAGAATATGGATTCCTGGGCCCTACCCGAAGAATCTCAGAGAATGTTCGTTCTAGGACTCTCCAGTTTTTTAGACTCTGCTGGTAGTTCTGTTAATCACCTCAATTTCTGAATGACTAAACGAAAGAATAGTTTTTCATTATTTAATCAGGATCCTTGGCTTATATTCTGGTAACCTCCTGTTTATTTGTTATATACAGAATCCTAACTAGGAAGGAAAAATTGATTTATAAAATCCTCCCTGGCTCTCCTTCTTGACTTCTTATATCTCTCCATCACTTTCTTCAGATTTTTCTAAGGTGTTGGGTATTTTTTAGGAAGGAACATAGTCAAGTTGTCTGGATTCCCTTGTAGTTCATGACTGGATATATAAAAATTCTTATTGCTTTTAGATAATTTTTTCAAAAAGAGTCCAATCTAGGAAAATCAGGAGGAAAAATACAAAAACATTTTTAAAGGACTATTCAGAATACAGATTCTTTAACAAAGAGATAGCCGCAGGGGATCTTAGCCAGCCCACGGCTTACACAACATGTAGTCCTCATTCCTTTTTCTCATTAAATCTGGATGCTGAGAATCTAGAGAAATGCTAGATAACATTACTTACACTGCTACCATGAGTCACATTTAGGTTTGGCATCATTGCCAGATCTCCGTTCTCTTAATTCCTGCACCTTATTCATACCCAAGGATACCCTTTGGCCACAGACTTTGCTGTGATCTCTAGCTACCTTACTTGGGTCCTGCAAATCCTGCTCAGGGGTTTGTTTTCTAGAATAAACTACTTTTCTATATGGCTCTTAAACAGTCTTCACTTTAATATATTTTACACTGTTTAGCAGTCACCTTTCCTTTTTCCTGAAGGCTTCTGGCTTTGGAATTTTGGAACTATTACATTTACCCTGACTTGCTTTTCAACTCCTGAAATCCATTTTTTAACCTGTTACCAGTGTTGGCTCCACCCTTTGCTAAAAGTGCTCAGTTTCTACACAATATTCACATCTAAAGATATGTGGCCATGTGCTCATAATAAAAGATGTCACCTTTCCAGGAAGCTTGTCTGCATCATATCAGCTCTGTACAAGGAGGTAGAAAGAGATTTGTCATCTCTTATGTTTTGTGTTGTTTACTAAGCTCTTATTTCATGTCTGAGGGTCCCCTGTAGTTGTCAACATTTTTGGAAAACATTGATGACCAAAACTTTCTGATGAATAGCTGTGCCTATTTTTCCCCTCATCTTTTTGATGACGTATTACTCAAGTGCTTCCAGAAGAAGAATCATCTAAAATTCTATCAGTGCAGTTTTACAGTATCAAAATAATATAGTCCAGTAGGATAGCGTGCAGCTTACAATAGGCGGAAAAAGAGACTATTTGCTTATATGTACCTGACTTTAAAATCACACTCTAAAACTCTTATTTGACCTGTTTAACATATTTATCTATGGCCAACTTTATACATCCCTTTTTCCCCCTTAAAATCACTTTTATTTAATCAGAACATATATGTGCTTACTGAAACCCTGTTAATTATTTCACCACGAAGTATCTTTCGTATGACTTTAAATATGTGCTTAATAACTCTTGTTTTTAAATTGTAAACAAAGAATGTTTCTTATATAGAACTTGGAATGGTATAATTGAGTACTCGGCATGGCTAGGTGTATGATTTTAGCTGTTTATAGTATTTGAGAAGTATTTGAGAATCTCTTTTATAGGTTTCCTCTCCAAAGTATAGGGTTTTATTCTTTTTAAAATGTTTGTTTTCTTATTACAAAAAAATAATATATTCATTAAAAATTTTTGAAAAAATTTATAAAAACGTTTTTAAATCATCAGTAGCCCTACAAATTAAAATAACCTCAATCGATATTTTGGTATATAATTTTTCCAACTTTTTGTCTATGTATTAGCTTAAAATATCTGCAGTATTAAAATCTCTACCTTCCAACCTGGCTAACCTTTTTTTTTTTTTTTTTTAAATTCTTGAGCATCTGGATAATGATTTTTGTTTTAGAGCACTTTTTAGGTTCACAGCAAAATCGAGAAGAAGGTACAGAGATTTCCCAGGTGCCCTCTGCCTGCCATGTGCCTCCTGCACTATGAGTATCTCCCACCAAAGTGGTACATTTCTTAAAATTGATGAACCTACACTGACACACTAGAATCACCTGAAGTCCATAGTTTATACCTTCAGATTCACTCTTGATGTTGTACATTTTGTGAGTTTGGACAAATGTATAACGACATGTATCCATTATTATAGTATCACACAAAGTATTCTCACTGCCCTAAAAATCCTCTGTGGTGTGCACATTCATCCTTTCCCCACCCTCTACCTTTTTTCTTCTTTTTTTTGTAAAACTAAAATAAATCAGCTTCTTTCCCTTATACTTGCAAAGGATCTTTGCTAAAAATTTTGTGGGAAATACTTTCTTTTGGTTTTTGTTCATTTTGTAATTTAATCTATTCCATGTCATTTAATTATGCAATTATTATTATTATAGCCACCACATTACTTATTAATTTCTTACAGGTTATTCTTTAAATGTTTGCTAAAGAATCTGGTCTATCACTGTATATCCTAACCATAGATCCTGTACACACACCCATAATGCAAGTCTTTATTCACTAACCCAGTTAGATTGTATATATGCAGAGACATCTGTTAATCAAGTAATCATGGAGTAAAGTTTACAAAATATGTGTGGTCTTCTAGTTATTTTTAAGTTTCTTTTTTTAATTACAGAAGCAAAGACTAGTTCATTTTATTTTTTACATTTAATAATTTTTTATGTTTCAGTTACAGTTGGCATACAAGGACTAGTTCATTTTAGATTATTGGGATATAGAAATAAGAAGAGAGAAGACCTTAGTTTAGAGCTCACACCATCTGTTTTATTTGCATCAGTTTAAATAATGTTAGTGTAGAACATGGTTTTGTGGATCATTTAAACCTTTTATACTGCATTAAAATTGAGCCCAATCTAGCTGAGTAAGTATCTGGAATATAATTATCTTTAGGCTGTTTTCTAAACTGGTTCTCATCAGTATTTGCTTTGCTACTCTATGTAATATTTTAATACTGATAGAAAACTTAGAAATCTTCCAGTCCATTCCCTCCTTTTTCTCAGTCAGATTATTGAGACCCAAATTATTTAACTGACAGTTACTGTCTTTCATGAAATATGAGGAAAAGCTTTTCCATTTTTACATAGTTATTATGTAGAATGACCTAGATTGGTAGTTATCAATCTTTTAATAGTAGAGCTTATTTTCCTTAAAAAAAAAAAAAAAAAAAGTTCTCACCTTGAGCAGCATATATAAAACACACTTTTAGGGCCCATTTCTGAAACCCTGTCCAGTTTGCTTGTTATATTTCTAGGAACTTTAGGGCCCTGTGAACCATTCATCAAAGTACTTATTTCATTAGATTGTTATTTTACAAACTGGTATATTTATAACATTTTGTTCAGAACTAGTGGTACCAATAAGCAATCCAAAAAAGTAGACATCAAACATAGTGAAGTCTTGAGCTCTGATTCAGAGTGACAGAACATTTTATAGAAATAAATACACTTTGTATTTATACATCCCTGCTAGACAGTTTGAAGCCCTGGGTAGTTATTCTGCATCTATTTGAGTTATTTGTAATAAGTGGATTGGCTTTGAGAATTAAAAATATTCCAAACATGCAAAGCAGGAATCATTAAGACCTTGATCCTTAGGGCTTTATGTAGTCTTTTGCATAAAAGTCAAAACTGTTATAAATATGTATTTACCAGCATATATATGCTATGATTGATTAAATTTTAGAAAGTAGCCTTGGAAGGAGTGTTCACATCATGAGTCTGGCTTGATTTTCTTTCATTTGATAGGAAAAAGCTCCTCTGTTTCTGAAGAAAAAGGTGACTCTGATGATGAGAAACCAAGGAAAGGAGAAAGACGATCATCCAGGGTCAGACAGGTAACTTGGATACCTCCTAAAGTATCGTCCATCACCTCTTTGAGTAATACTTTGGTTATCTCATCTTTCTCTTCCTTCTCAAACTATTTCAGAGTTGGTGTTTCTCTAGATTTCTGTACAGTCTTCTTTCTCTTTATCACCTTTTTCTTTTGTTTTATGTTTTTTAATTTAGATCTGCTCTGGCCTTCAGATTTCTAAGTGAATACATAAAAAAAAGTAAAACTTAATAGTGAAAGATTGTAGGCTGTTCTATATTTCTAAAGTGTGTTATTAAAAAAGATATACTTGTCTTCAGCCATGCCACCCTGAATGTACCTGATCTTGTCTGATCTCGGAAGCTAAGCCTGGTTAGTACTTGGATGGGAGACCACCTAGGAATACTAGGTGCTGTAGGCATTAATAAAAAAAATAAATAAATAATGTAAATAAATAAGATATACTTGATTATTCAATTAAAACCTGAAAGCTATATGATATACTAAGTGAGCAGAATACAGAAGTATATGTGTAGTATAATTATGACTATGGAAAAGAAGGAAAAAATTAAATATACCAAAATGATAAAAATAACGAAATTAAGTGATAATAGGTTGGACCTTCCACTTTCTAGATGTTCAGTTTGTATGTATGTGTGTATTTTTTTTAGTTTATTTTTCAAGTTCAAAGCTAAAAAATGAACTAGTAGAAGTTTCATTATTGCATTCCTTTCAGTCATTCTATTTTGATTCCCATAAGCGCCCATATCAGTCATGTTTGTCTGCTGTCAAACTAGTTTCTGTGTTGGTGAAAGTGTACGTCATTGAATTTCTCCTTTCTGTGTGTATCTCGAGATACTTTTTCTCTTCTGTTGATAGTGAGGAAATATACTTGGAACAATTATGTATCTTATCTTTTTCTTTCAGGCAAGAGCAGCTAAACTCTCTGAGTGCAGCCAGGCTGCTGAGGAGGAGGAAGATCAAGAAACACCTTCCAGAAATCTGAGGATCAGAGCAGATCGAAATTTGAAAACAGAGGATGAGGAAGAGGAAGAGGAGGAAGAGGAGGAAGAGGAGGAAGAAGATGATGAGGGACTAAAATCTAGGGATGCACCAGTTCTGAAACAGTCTGAGGAAGAAAAGAGGGAAGAGATGCCCAGAGCAAAACCAGAGGAGGTAGTGGAAGAGAGATCACAAACTATTATAAGATCCCAGGAACAAGAAGGGTTAGAGAGAGGAGGGAGAGTTACAAGGTCCCAGGAAGAGGCTAGTAGAAGAGGTCATCTGGCCAGACATCAGCAGGAGAAAGAGATGAAAACAGTTTCTCCCCTTGAAGAAGAAAGACAAATAAAATCATCAAAAGGCTTGGAGGAAAAATCAAAGTCTCCTTCCCCTCCTCGATTGACTGAAGATCTGGAGAAGGCCCCTGTTGTGTTACAACCAGAGCAAACTGCCAGTGAGGAGGAGACTCCTCCACCTTTACTTACCAAGGAAGCATCTCCTCCACTACCTAATACACAACTCCAGAGTGAAGAAGAAATTGAGCCCATGGAAGGCCCAGCCCCGCCTGTTCTCACTCAGTTATCTCCTCCTAATACAGATGCCGAGGCCAGGGAGCTATTACTATCTCAGCATACTGTTCAGTTGGTAGGAGGCTTGTCTACTTTGTCAAGTCCTGCAGACACCAAAGCAGAATCTCCAGCAGAGAAAGTGCCAGAGGAGAGAGTTTTGCCTCTAAGTCAGAAAAGCACACTAGCTGAGTCCTCAACCCAGAAAGGTCTTGGAATAGAGTCAGACAAATCTGCTGCCCCACCCCCTCTAAAAATTGAGGAATTAGCACCAGCCAAAGGGATCACTGAAGAATCTCTGAAACAGCCGTCTGTTGAACAGAAGGAAGGCAGAAGGGCTTCTCATACCCTTCTCCCAAGCCACAGATTGAAGCGGTCAGCTGACTCATCCTCTAGCAGATCCTCCTCATCTTCATCCTCAAGTTCTAGATCAAGATCTCGTTCTCCTGACAGTTCACGCTCTCAATCTCACTCACCTCCAAGATCCAAGCAGAGAGAGATAGCTCATGCCAACCCTCGTGGTAGATCCAAGATGGGCTCCAGATCAACATCAGAGTCCAGGTCACGTTCCCGTTCTCGTTCAGCATCAAGCAACAGCAGGAAAGTAAGTGTGGCGGACTCCTGGGTACATTGATGTTCTGTCTGTATGCCAGTGTTTTCAGCCTTAGGGGAACTTATCATGATTTCTGGCGGGAATAGGAAAGTCTTCCTTTAGTTCCGAGTTCATTGATTACTTTCCCTTCATTTTAAGAGTCTAATTTTCAGTTCATTGATCCCTAAATAGGGTCCTTTTTCATTTTGAACCCCTTTGATTCCAAGGAAAGAAATTCGAATTTTGATTTTTTTTAAATTTAAATTAATTTACCCATCTCCACTAGATTATAAACTTCTTGAGGATATGGGCATGCTTCTTTACATGTGTATTCCAGTACCCAGCACCTAGTTGGGACTTAAGAAATTTTAATAGGAAATCCAGAAGATCACAAACTCAAACAGGAATAAACATAAGGACAGAGAAGTCCAAAATATTGGGTCAGCAGGAGTTGGAAAACTCAGTGATCTACTGAATATATACCACATAAAATAATTTGCGTTAATGTCTTTTATTTCTTTAGTCTCTGAGCCCTGGAGTCTCCAGAGACAGCAACACCAGCTACACTGAAACCAAAGATCTCTCTTCTGGTCAGGAGGTTGCAGCTCCACCAGTGCCACAACTGCAAGTTCTCGAGCCAAAGGAGAGGACTTCCACCTCATCCTCTATGCGAGTGAGGCCTATGAGCCAACCAGAGCCAGCTGAAAAGCATGTGACCCAGAGGGTACAGCCTGAGCCGGTAGGCTATTATGTCCTCTCCTTAGAGGGAGATAGATGATTAGGCATGATCTTCCCTTTTGTTTTAACTATAAAATGAAAGCTCAGTCTGGACAAGATTCAGTAGAAATGTAGAAGGCTGGGAAGACCTGTTAGATTCCATTTAACTAATTTTTAATTCCCTGGTTCATGAAAACTACATGAGGCCGAGTTCTCATCTCCAGGGCTCTCAGAGTCAGTTCTTCCTCAGAACTTATTTTTTCTGCCCAAAAGGAAGCCTGTTCTCAGTTCTCTCTAAAAACTCTAATAAAATAATTGCTGGCATAGCAGTTCTTTAAGCAATATTCCATTCTTCTTTCTACAATGAAATAACAAAGATAGATAGGGCTATGTGTGGAGCTGGCATGGTGTATGTCCTGCTCTGTTTTTCACCAGCTTCAGGTTAAAGAAGGAGGAACCAAGCAGATTTAAGGATGTCGCTATGTTTGTTTTGCTATGTTTGTTTTGCTATGTTTGTCCTGACAGGGGAGCCCAAAGAAGTGTGAAGCTGAAGAGGCAGAGCCACCAGCTGCCACACAGCCCCAAACCTCAGAGACTTCAACTTCTCACCTACCAGAATCAGAAAGGATTCATCACACTGTGTAAGTGATTTATCTTGACGGGGGTATAACAAGGAGCTAGGAATGTGGAATAGTTCTTTGCTCCTAGGGTTCTTTGACTAAGCAGTCTTAGTTTTCTTATAAAACATGAAGGCAGAGCTTTATCTGGACAAAGGCTAGACTTTAGTTACTATGTTGGGAGCTGACACCTGAACTCTCAAGGAGGTCTGAAAAGTGGTGAGAGCATAAGGAAACCCATATCTGTGATCATCTAACCAAAATAGTCAATTTTAAAGAGCAGGCAGCAGAGGCTTCTGTTTCCATACTTAAGACAGTGTAAGGAAGTTGACTTGGGATATCCTAACTCAATCTTTAACTCAAATTTACCAGCTATTCCTAAGCCTGGGATCACAGGTTAATAAAGGATATTGAAGGTCTATAAAGAAAGACACAAGAGGGTGCTATGTTTTAGTTTCTGTATTTTCCCTGGTCATTAGCTGTCATTTTATTAAGCACAATCTATTTAACTCTTATAGCATACAATACAGTAAAATATGAAGTACATATCAAGTCAGAAGTTTCTTCCCGAGCCCCTAAGGCCCTTAAATTGATTGTACCATTTATTACAAGTAATGTGGATTTTTTTTATTCCTTAAGTTTAGTTCTAGAAATATATTCATATCAAATTAAATTTGTTATTGAACATATATGTCATTCATTATTCTGAGCTAATATTCAAAATTAAGAAGCCATGGAACCAACATTCCTGGCTTCAGAGTATCATAGGAAATGAAAAAGGAAAGCACTGTGGAAATAAGATTGCTTAGTTTTTAGACATCAGGAATCTTGTACCGCTTTGGTGAATGTCTTGTGTAGACAGTTGGTCTAAAGTTGTTTATTTTTGTGGTGTTTTAACGGTAATATATACCAGTATGATTTTTCCCTTTATGTAAATGTCTAATAATTTACACTCTTCTGAGAGCTTTAGACTGTCTTTTACCTCTGATTTTGGAGGGTGGTGAGCAGGTGACATGATTTTATTATCTCCTTATGACTTTAATAATAATTTTGTACTCCTTACTACATAGCTTTTGCCTTGGGATATACTCTTGCTAATGTCCATTCCAGTATTCTTGCCTCTGCTGCCATCTTGTGGCCATTACACTTTGGTTCGAAAGCCAAAAGTTCGTTCTACTTCCTTTGAAAAGTTTCTATTTTTCAGTTTGGGGACGGGTACATTATCCTTTCGAAAAGGGTTTTTCTTCTAGGATCATAAAGTGAAAACCCAGCGGATTCTGGAAGGTGTTCAGGATTTTCCCAGCTACACCATCGATGAGGAAATGGGGTGACACCTTTCCTTCCATGTCCATCAAAGATAATACCGAATACCTGCCTTTACTTCCCCAACCCATGGGGGTATTACATGTTCTTTGTATAATGGCAGTTTCAAAGTAGGTATTGAAAACTTGCTATTAATTAGGTATGAGGAGCTGCCTCCTATCTATCTTGAGAAACAAGTAATTTTCTAAAATGCTCCTTGCTTGCCTTAAAATTCTGTGGATCCCGGCAATAGAATGGCGCTTTATGCTGTTTAGAAGCACCTTTATTTCTGGACTTCCACATGCAAGTCCAGGGCAAATGAGGCTTGGAGTTATATATAGAGTTTTTCTCCCCAGGTGAAGGTGGCTTTGATCTTCATTTTATGATTTAGGTAATCTAGTCACATGATTCTAGCAAGGTGATAGGCAAGGGACACCTTGAAAATACTGAGATTGTCCATTGTTTCCTAGGCAACCTTCAGTGTAGCAGCCTATAGATTAGAAATGCAGCGTGAGCTCAGGAGTAGCTCACACATGTCCGTCTTACCTGCTTTCCTTCTGCCTGCCTTCCAGATGGTCTGTTGAGCAGCCTAACAAAAAGACATGCCCAAAGGCCTAAACCCAGAAGCTATTCTGGCATTGGATTTGGTAAACATATCTTTGAGAAGGTTTTCTGGAGGCCCTACTACAACTAATACCCAACACTCCTGGTTTCTCACCCACTATAGTCCTAGCTTTCAGCCTTATGACCTCGGGAGCCCTGGCCAATTTTAAAAATGGGATCAGCAGTGCTAAGTAGAAAAGACCATTTGTGGCTTAACCTTGGTTTTCTATCTCAACGAGAAGTCACATGACTAATAAAAACAGAGCCTAGGGCCTATTGATTCAGTAAAATGTTTAAAAAACAGACTTTACTTCAAGGTCCTCTCACCACTTGGAAGAGATTGCCTAACTATTTTTGCTATGCTTGGTTAAATCCATTCTGATTCTGATTATGCCCTGAGGAATTCTAGATTTGAGGTAAGGTATATTCTTCATTGCTTGGAGCAGGAATTTGTGAGCCCTCAGTTTTATTTCATTGAGCCATATTCCAAAATCCAATCTTCTGCCTGCTATGGATATAACAAAAATGACCGCCTTTGGCAGAAAATAATGGTACTCTTTTTACATAAAAAGGCGGGGGGGACTTTGTGTGGGCAGTTGTATTATCC